CACCGGGCCTCCAGAAATAGATTTACATGGGCTCCTCTCATCTGTCATGAGTGGAGTTCAGCTTTTTTTTTTTGCTCCGGTTTGAGGTCTTTGGGATGAGTCAAACAGCAAAGAGCAGCAGGTTCAAACAGCATTTGTACATATCGAAACACTCTCTGTCTGTTCCGGAGAGTTTCTGGTGTAAACAATGCTTACACAGCAGGATTTTCTTTTGTTTTTTCGTTGTATGTTTGGTCTGGAAGTAAGATAGAATGAGTCGAATCCCAAACAAGACTAAATAAGATCGTCGGTTTTCTTTCCTCAAACTTGGACTCCAGGTCCTTGATCTGGAGGCTGAACTGGGAGCTGTTTTCCTAACGGGAATAAGGATGAATAAGGATGAATATGGATGGATGGACAGGGACTCGGGCCTCTCAAAGTCCAGAGTCTCAAAGTCTTCAGCCTCCAGAAGCTCCAAGTAGCTTTTATCAATCACCTGCTAGCAGAAAAATCCTTATGGAGAGATATAAATGTCTCCATATGACTTCATTCAAAGCCTTAAGATGTCAGATCACTGACACAGCTCGTGTATTTATTAACCTTTGACCCCCTGAAACTAAAAATGGCAATTTGAAAGTACAGCAGAACCTCTACAGAAGAGTTTAACTGGTTTCAGGACCGACTTCGTATGTTAAAATTATGCACACAAATTTGTGTATTCATGCAGATGACAGGAATGTGCTAACAAATGGTGTGTGTGTGTGTGTGTGTTGACCTAAAGGTGGATCTAATGCAACAGAGAAAGAAAAAGAAAGAAAAAAGGGAGAATCTGTAGTTACAGCCAGAGAATTTAACACAAAATATAGTTATAGAAGAGTATAAAACCATCAGTAATATACATAGATCATGTGATAGCATACAATGCTAAAGTGAGTCATTATAGCCAGATTCTAAAACTCACGCTTTTTCAAACGGCATCTTTTTTCTCCGTCCGAACAGCCGTTGCCATGACGACGGACGAGGTGGACAGCCACCAGAAGAAGCCTGGTTAGGGTTAGGGTTAGGGTTAGCATTTATACATATTGAAACACTCTCTGTCTGTTCTGGAGACTTTCTGGTGTAAACAATGTTTACACAGCAGGATTTTCTTTCTTTTTTTTGTTGTATGTTTGGTCGAATGAGTTGAATCTCAAACAAGACTAAATAAGATCTTCGGTTTTTAGTTTAGTTAGCTATCTTTAGTTAGCTTTAGTTATAAAAGGAATAAAACAATCAGTAATTTACATAGATCATATGATAGTTTAGGATGTTAGCCTGGGTAATCGTAGCTAACCCTGACCCTGAGAGTCTGTGGTCACAGCCAGAGAATTTAACACAAAATAAACAGTGTGGGAAATAAGTATTTGACCCCTTGCTGATTTTGCAGGTTTGCCCACTTACAAAGAATGCTTATTTTTCCTCATCAGATGGTTATCAATTTTTATAAATTCATATGATGTGATTTTCTGGAATTTTCTTTGGGATTGTGTCTCTCACTGTTAGAATGTACATATGATTAAAGTTATAGATCGTTGCATTCTTATAGTAATATAGTAATAAAAGACAATAAAACAATCAGTAATTTACATAGATCATGTGATAGCATATGATGCTAACCTGGGTAATCGTAGCTAACCGTAACCCTAGCCCTAACCCTGAGAGTCTGTGGTCACAGCCAGAGAATTTAACACAAAATATAGTTATAAAAGAAAATAAAACAATCTGTAATCTACACAGATCACGCGATAGCATACAAGGCTAAAGTGAGTAATAATTATAGCCAAATTCTAACACTCGGCCCCTT